AGAAATTTGGTGCTGATTCGAAATTTTTAATAAAAAAATAATAAAACGATTGTTTTACATTCAGGTAGGTGTTCACTTGGTTCTTCGGGTTGACTGAGTTGACCTGAAAATGAATATGAATTATGCATTAGCAACCGTCAGTATTGCATAAGGTGATAGTCTTCCAATCTTAACTATTGTATAAAGCTGAACACTTGATGGCAGTTGAAATGATAATTGATGTATGAGTGGGATGATATTGAGTCAGTGGTTTCGTTCAGGCACAATAAGTGAATTCAGTTTCGAAATCGATTCAAGGGATTTAGACTAGGTTTAGATGCATCAAGACGTTGGAAGAAGGTGATTGATACTAGAAAGTTAGGTCTTCAAAAAGTATGATAATGCTATAAAAATTGAATAACTATGGAATTCCAACGAATAGTTAGATATTCTCAAATATCAAAGCAATCAAAAGGTGAAATTCCACTCAGCCAAAACACCTGTAGTGCTCTCCGTGGTCGTCTCTACGCCTTCTTGTTCCAGCGCGGTGGGGGTTGTCTCATTTGTTAGAGCGTAGGAAGTGATCACTTCTGGTTCAACGGTTTGTCCTTCGAATATGCCTGTTGACCTCAGCTCACTTAAAGTGGCATTCGCTGTTTCATTGAAAACCATCTGTCTGCAAGGGAACTCCACGATGTCATAAGCCATTCCGTTGATTATTTTGTACTTTCGACACAAGTCGAATGTGTAATTTGTTTCTGCTAGAATCGTCAAATCCATGCTTTCGGGACATTTGACCAGATTGATGCGTTGTTCAGACGCATACTCTGCTAGTGCTGAGGCTTCCGATTCCAGTGACGTCGATGATTCTAATGATGAATCGGCTGGCAAACATGAGACATTTCGCAGTCTTTCTAAACATTCGGTAGCGCCGGTTTTTGAATTCTCCTTACAATCTCGTTCCACCTGTATTTCTGAGTCGTTCAGCGAGCCCAGACTCTCCCATCGCAATTCGTTCACGTCTATAGGGCCAGCGGCTGGTTTCCCTTCGTGAGCTGCATCGAATATTGGGAAATCAGGAGCTGCGATAACAATCCTGCCCACTTTTTCAGCACTCGTTCCGTTCGCAAAAATCACTCCACTTTTCGGATTCAACGGCATCTCTTTCTGATGTTCTGACGAGGACACTCGTTGGTTAAGGTTGGCGAAGAGTGCTTCGGATTGCTCACTGCTAGCCTCTTCGAAACTGCACGGTTCTCCACTGCCTGCAGTACTGCTGCAATTTCTTGCCGACTCTTCCAGCGATGTCTCATTGGAGGATGAGCTCAGGTTGAGTAACTCTTCTTCACTGTTCAACTCGGCTCCACTTGAAAGGTGCGAATACGATGAAGTTACTGAACTGGTCGAAACACTTGCGTAGTTGTCACTTTCTTCTGACGAGTTAACTGCTGCTGCTGCTGCTAGTTTAGAGTCTAATTGTAGTGAGTATTCTGGCTCAGTTACAGTCTTTTGTTGGTCTTCGGCCACCGCAGCGATACTTCGTGCTCGATGATCAAGTGCTTGCCTTTCTTGGCTATCGAACTTAATGATCACTTGCCTGAGAGGTGTCGTGGTCGATAGCGACGTAAGATTCCGTAGAGAATCCGTTTCGTTAGTCTCTTCAGAACGAAACATCACTTCGGTTTGTGGCGATAGCTCAACGGTGGTGATATTATCGTTATCACTAGCATTCATCTCACTTTGATACTCAGTGGATGCTGTCTCCTTGCTTGCAGTCATATGATCAGTGCCCGTTTGCTGGAGATTCTCTGAATCGCCTTCACGATCAGATTCATCCGCAGAGGTTGATTTCGGACGACTAACACCTTGCTTTGTGAGAATCTGTTGGTTTGCGCCATCACTATCTGCATTCTCCTCGTCGCCAGCGCCCTCTTCGTAGGATTTCGGTCGACTTTCGCCGCTCGACAGACTCGGCCGAATCTCTGCGCTTGCTCTGGAATCCTTGCGTCTTCTGTCGAGAATTTGCTCTTCTCCAGAAGGCATTTCCAAAGACTGATGACCATTTTGTTGATCAAGTGCTTGTTGCTTTTGTTGCTGTCCGTTTTGCTCGAGTTTCGCCAGTTCAGCATTCAGAAAATGTGAGTTGTCATATTTTGACGCTCTAGGTGCTAATGGTTGAATGAACACAGCTCTGTCCGCGGTATCATCGGTGCGATCAAGGGGATTTGCATTGATCCAATCGTCTGATTGTTCTGCACTACCGTAAACCGGATCCTGAAATTTCAACATTTGTGACTCGACTGTTTCAATTGATTTTTTTGCTTATTTTTCAATTTCACACCATTTTGTTCACGTCAATCGCAACGAATACCACAGAATTCGGATGCATATCAAAATGAGAATTCAATCGTTCATGATAGACACTTTGTGATAATTTCAATGAATGATTTCGTCGAATCGAACTGAGAATTAAAGAACAGTCACATTATCTGCACTGAAGTGTGTAGTTCTCGGGTGATCACTTGCATACGGTGAATACGCAGGAGCTGATCCGAACTGATCAATATCGCCTGACGATATTTGAGATTGTAACTGTTTAAATGGTGAATCTGAAATGTCACCATTCACTAAGATTAAATGAATGGATCATTTAACAGCTTATCAATAACCAAGTTTATCACAATCTTCTATCTTTAACTCGATTTAACTCGATTCTATGGGACTTTTTCAGCACTTGAGCTCCCTGTTCACGATATAATGCACCTTGCCACCGGCTGCATTTCGTGAAATCACGTAGGTTCAAATAATTCAAGGGAATGATACGAACTCCCATTAGTTATTCAAATACGCGATTAAATGGGCTGATGTTCCAAAATAAAATTCTCCCTCCATCGATACTAATTCTTCTCAAAGCATTGATTTTTATGAACCAGCTGACTGATTCGAAATTTTCACGGACAAAGAAAAAATTTGCTTACGATTAGCGAATCGCTCACTCACCTTCCGTAATGTGACAATCACCAAAATTTGGTTTTTGAATGAATGAAATGGAAAATATGGCAGCGAATAGCAACAATAACAGCATTTCCACAAAATCTCTTAAGAAGATATGTGAGCAGAGCACTACAAGGCGTTTAATGAAATAATCTCCTGTGGACTAATGCAAACACACACACTAATGAGAAGGAAGGAATTGGTCTGTGGTGAGGAAAATTTGGTTCAGGTGCTTTATATACAATTTTCAGTATGATTGTTCAGGGGGGGGGGAGGNCTACACGGCGTTTAATGAAATAATCTCTTGTGGACTAAACACACACACACACTAATGAGAAGGAAGGAATTGGTCTGTGGTGAGGAAAATTTGGTTCAGGTGCTTTATATACAATTTTCAGTATGATTGTTCAGGGGGGGAGGTTTGATGAAGGTGATGACAATTGGAATGTGGAAGTGAGATATTCACATGAGGGTAATGGTGTTCAAAGAGATCATTACAATAATCAACGTTGCAACAGAAAAAAAACCACCGATCTAGGTGCAATTAACACAAACGAATAAGAAACACGAAATAGGACAACAAATAATGTTGTCACTTCGGAACACCTAAGAATTGAGGAGGCAACGATCCAACAGAGAATTATGTATGTGCTGGTATCATAATAATAATATACACTCATTAAATGCATACAAACCCATACCAAAATTTTGCACCATCCTCATATACTGAATCGCTCTTCACCGTGTCAACACTGTGTTCGTTCGTATTTTGTAACTGAACTATAAAATTATGCGCAAAAAAAATTGTCAATTGCCGAACCAACCAAAAACAATGCAATGGAATACACATGGAATCACATTGCAATGAAACAGCTGAATTAATGATTCTAGGTGAGTGGGGAACAAGAGAGGTGTAGAAGTACGGCAGATCATCTTAATTACTAACGGATTCTTTTGGAATGGTTTATTAATGNCTGGAGATTCCAAAGATCCACCATTATGCACACAACAGGAATTTTAGCAATGTACTCATTCAACTGGAACAGCCATGCAACAGGGTTTATTACTGCTGGCGTCATTAATATTAGTGGTACTACTACTAAAACATTAATTTCATTTGTTGTTTTCATATTTTTTGCAAAAAATTCACGTTTAATGCTCTGCTAGGCATTCGCTCGACTAAATTTAATTGTGCGTTTGTTATTAAGACTGTTTTCATGTTTCATTGAATGTCAACTCTTTTTGTTGATTTGTCATTTTTTCGACTTTTCGCATTGTGTTGTCAGCTAATGTAATTATGTTCTTGCTGGCTCAATTACTGTTTTTA